TAGCCAAGCCTTCTATTCGTTTTATTTGTCTAAAGCTTTTGATACTGTAGATCAGGACATCTTACACCAAAAGCTCTCAGACATTGGTTTCTCAGATCACACTATCGGTTGTTTTTCTAATTATCTGTCAGATCAAAGGCAATGTGTTCAACACAATGGTACTTCTTCCAGTTATTTAGCTGTCAACAATGGTGTACCACAAGGCTCAGTCTTAGGACCCACTCTCTTTACAATCTACATACAGTAAGTAATGTAGGTCATAATATTCCTGATGCATCCTTACATTTATATGCCAACGATACAGTTGTTTGTCGAGCTAAATCAGTTGCTAAGGTTTTCCAGATTTTACAGTCTGCATTTGACATCACCCAGTCAGACTTGTTCTGTCTCAAACTGGTGCTAAATGCTGACAAAACCAAAGGGATGTTGTTTTCAAACAAGAAGTTGGTACCAGCAGTCCTTCCTTCTATCTTATTTATGAATGGTGTTCCTGTTGAGTTTGCCGATTCTTACAAATACTTGGGAATTTTGGTCGATGCACATCTCTCTTATAAGCCGCATGTCGAAACTTGGTAAAGAAATTGAAATTAAAATTGGGTTTCTTTTTCAGAAATAAATCTTGTGTAACTCTGAATGCTAGGGAATGCCTTGTAACTGCTACTTTCCTTCTGGCCATTGACTACGGTGACAATATTTACATGAATGCTCCTGCAAGCACTCTGCAGATGTTGGACACTGTATCACAACGTGCTAAGATTCATAACTGGTTGTAACTACCTTACCCATCACCATTGGTCAATTGGTCATCATTAACTTCATGCAGACTCCCACACTGGTACATTTTCATCTTTAAATCACTCCTCGGTCTGCTGCCTTCATACATCTCCTCCTACATGTCACTTTGTCAGTGCAGTTACAGCGTGTGCCCTCAAGACATCATTACCTGCAGCGTCCCCTCAGTGCGGACTGAATTTGGCAAAAAAGGCCTTTTCTTACTCCGCTTCTGTTTCCTGGAACACCTTGAAAAAAGATCTGAAGTTGTTGACTTTGACTCCTCTAAGGGATTTTAAACTAAGTTCAATGCAAAAATCAATGCAGACATGTTTCTGTTTTTAGTATTTTACCTCGTTTCATAATGTAGCTTGGTTTTATTTTGTTTTAAATCACAACTTTTATTAATTTTTCATGTTGTATGCATTTATGACTGTTTATTGTTGTGTGTACCTCTTCTGTTTTGTTATTTTGTGTTTTTTTAAACAGGTCTCTCTTGAAAATGTGTCCATGTGACTCAATAATAATAATATAATAATAATAAACTTTATTTCTATAGCACCTTCCAACAACGCCTTGCATTGACCAAGGTGCTTCACAAGACAAAACAAGATTACAAACAGGACACAATAAATCAGTGCAAATTAATAAACACAGCGAGAATAAAAGAAGGTAAAAGAGATAAAATAAAAAATAAATACTAAATACTAAACTACTAAAAGTTAAACATTAAAAGCCCTTTTAAATAAGTATGTTTTCAGTTTGGCTTTGAACAGAACCAGATCAGAGATGGCATGCAGCTCATAGGGAAGAGTATTCCAGGCTGCTGGGCCTGCAACAGAAAAGGACCGGTCCCCCCATTGTTTGCACCTTGAGCGTGGCACCACCAGCAGATTTTGACCAGCAGACCGTAAAGCTCTGCTGGGCTGGTGGACTTTCAAAAGTTCTGAAATATAAGCTGGTGCAAGGCCATTCAAAACTTTAAAAACAAACAGTAGCAACTTGAACTGTATCCTAAACTGAACCGGGAGCCAGTGTAAAGAAGAAAGGACAGGAGTGATGTGTTCATATTTATGTGTGTTAGTCAACAAGCGAGCAGCAGAGTTTTGTACAAGCTGTAAACGGGAGATAGAAGATTGATTAATACCCACATATAAGGCGTTACAGTAATCAAGCCTAGAGCTCACAAAGGCATGGATGGCCTTCTCCAGATCACTACGGCTAAGGAGTGATTTTACTTTGGAAAGCAGACGGAGCTGAAAGAAGCTGGTTTTCAATGACTCAATGAGACTAACCTGTTTAAATAAACGTTGAATGAATGAATATGAATGATTTTATTTGGAATTTGTGAGCAGAGTTTGTTTTGTCAGTCTCTACTATAAATCTAAATTTTAATTTATATAAAGAAAGTCAGTAGATCTGAGGCCAGATGGATAAATAATGTATACACAGCCATTTTTACAGTATGCACATATCAAACTTACTTGGTTGTACATTCCTCTTTGTGCAAATTTTCAATAAATTCTGCAACAGAGGAACTTGATTAATGTGTCAATGGACCTGAACCACTTTGCTTCAAATTTTGGTGGTACTGAAACCGTTTAGTCTCCAAATAAAAAGGGTCACTGTCTGTTTAAATGTATAAAATGTGTTGTCTCCTTCAGTCTACAGAGATCAAACAACACTGAAGGTTCAACTCAAAGCAATAACCCTCTGAGACTGATACATTTTTGTATCTCTTCACATTTTCACTGCCCTTGTGCCTTCTGCATCCTTTCTTGTGTTTTTTTTGCTTTTGCACAATCAATAAATCAATCGGAACGGAATCTGTGACCTTCAGAAGATTAAAAACGGCAATGAGAAATAACCTGAGGTTGATTGTTTTCATAATGGAACAACTCTTTGGGTTCAACGATATGGGTGTTGCTGCCTGAGAAGCCATCTAAATTGTGGTTCTATTATTGTTTCCACTAAGTATACCTCTGTGTATAGCGACACTCTTCTTCCCTGCATTTTTCTCTTGACCCTTCTCCTAATCGCCCATTTAACATTTCAACATTATTATTTAGCAAGCAGCTCTCATCTTTAATTACATACATTTAGTCAAGTTGATCGACTCACAAAGTCATTTTCATTCAGGCAGTGAACTTGTAAAGATTTTTGTTCATCGCAGAGGAGGACATTTAAGCAAAAGGTCCGTGTATGTTGTAAAAATGCATACGAGTGAGGATAAAACATCTGCTATGGTTTCTTTTCCCATATTTTTCACAATAATAAAAAAAAGTCTTGTTTTTACAAAAGTTAAATAGCTTGTCTTGTAAAAAAAAATGAAATTTGTGGTTCCGGGATCCATATTTATTATTTAGTCTACGTTGTTTTTGACCATACGTTATATAATTTAGCTTTCACTTCTCAGTGAGAAGGTCACATGATCACCTCCCTGTCTGGCATCTTTCTTGTTGGAGTTGCATCTTCTCCCTACGCACTTAGGTTTTCTCCGGGTACTCTGGTTTCCTCCCACAGACCCAAAACATGCATGTTTTCTTAACTGACAACTCTAAATTGTCCCTAGGTGTGACAGAAAACATGAATGTATGTCTCGTTTGGCTCCATGTGGTCCTGTGATGGACTTGTGTCATGTCCATGGCGTCCCCTGCCTCCTGCATCACTACTGGATATAGACATTAGCTCCCCTCGACCCGGAAAAGGAATCTTGGGTAAAGATATTGGATGGATGAATGGATCTGTATTAATCACACAAAATCGTTTGTTAAATAAGTTTGTGACCATGGCAGAAAATTATCATGGACGACAATGTAAATTCAATTCAGTTTATTTATATAGAGCCAAGTCACAACAGAAGTGGTCTCAGGGCACTGAACAGAAACATCCACATACATAAAAAAAGCCAATTAGTAAAAGTTCTCTATCTAAGGAAGCCAGCAGATTGTGTTGAATCTTTATTTCGTCACAGTCTCCCATCCTATGGCTGGATTGAATTAGCATTTTAATAAATCTGACTGGTAAGCAATAAACACTCCAAACTGCCTTCACAAAACCTTTTGCTGATATAGCCATAGTGTATATTTGTATTGAAAATTTTACATGAAACAGAAAATGTCATATTTTAATATGAAACTTTACAAAATTATGAAAAAAAAAAAACATTCCAAGTTCCACTACCCTTTGCTTTTGAAGTTCTACGAAAGTCAGTCTTTTTCTGTTTTGGCTAACTGTGCACTGATATCTAGCCTTTACACATTTACTTCTTTTATTCATTTCTCAATGAAAAATGAACTATCCAACCTTTAACTACAAAGTAAAACCCAAAAAATGTAATCTGTATTCTTGCATTAATTTACTCAATTGTGTTTAGGAATTTTGAAATATTTGCCTTTCTTCTCGGTTATTCCAGTTATTTTTAATGTTTTCAGATGGTTGTAGTGAAAATGGGGTGGAAGAATGTAATGTAATTTATGCACAGAGCTTTATAAGATGGGGCTGAGCACTTTTCCTCATCCAGCACCCCTCCCCCACCCCTTAACCCTGAGGATGCATAAAAATGAGCTGAACATCTCCACTTCTTCTACAAAATCACTCCATAAGTACATCCAGTGTGCAAAGCGGTCTATAATTTATTTATTTTCATATACTCTTTATTTTTCTGAGTGAAAGTGAGAAATAGAAGAGTTGTTTAAAAATCTGTTTTTGCCTGTGTTATGAGCATTTATTTTTCCGTGACTCGGAAAAGGAAAAACAATTCCTTCAGTTTTTGTTTTCTTTTTAATATTTGCTTCTTTGTCACTGAGAAGCATTTTGAAGCAACATTCAGTGGATATTAAATGGATGCCATTATTCCCATCACCGTGTGGGTTCAAACAACTTGTTTCAGCATCAGCGCCTTGTCTGTATTTATCTTCTGGAGCCTGTGAAACTCAGTGATTGGTTTTTACTGACGATGGGTAATTTTGTGCCGCAGTTATCTCAATCAAAAACGAAATTATAACCACCTTATGCTGACCTTTAATCAGTTTTCCATTCTTGACAGAACACCTTCTGCAGCGAGTCCCACCATGTGGATGAGTCTGGACTACCTAAAGCCCATCTCCATCTGCTTTTACTTTGATTTAAACCATTTTCTGTCCATTCTGTCTGCATCAAAGAAAGAAAAATCCACATTTTTGAGTTTGCCATCTCAAAACTCTCTGCTTTTTATCTTTATGTTGTAGTTCTGCTGCGTGAGGAGGTGGCCCAGCTCCAGGAGGAGGTGCACCTGCTGCGGCAGATGAAGGACATGTTGAGTAAAGACTTGGAGGAGACCCAGGGAGGCTGCTCGGCTGACGTCCTCTCTGCCACGGAGCTCCGAATGCAGCTGGCTCAGAAGGAGCAGGAGCTGGATCGAGCCAAGGAGGCTTTACAAGGTAAACAGGAAGCTGTGCACGATTCAAACAATAAAATCTTTATTGTAGGAAGAAAATACGAACAGTGATGCAGAAAGAGACTAAATGTATTCTTGTTCTTTCAGGAATTAGGCTCATTTCCTGTTTTTATTTCTGTTTGGTAAAGCAAATTGAATGAACTTTTATAATAATATAGTACACCACTAATATTTTGTTATAAAAAATCTTTGAAACATTTAACATATTTGGCCAAAATATTTATAACTTAATCTCAAGGGTATGACAATTTCTGTTGCCCTCTTTCTTTTTTAGATTTTAGTTTTGGAAGCAAGATTTGTTCACTTGAACTGAATTTTTCATTTTATTCATTTAATTATTTTATTACAGACTAATTTAAATTGCAGTTTATTTCTCATTTTCTCTCTTTCATCAAACAAAAGGAGGGCAAATATGTTTGTAAAACTAAAAGTTTTGGATTAAACGTGCACATATCCCACTTTGGACTATATTTCTGAGCAGCTGTGGCTGAGTGGTTAGAGCAGTCATCCTCCAGTGCAAGAGTTGGGGGTTCAAATCCATCAGCAGTCACATGCCAAAGTGTACCTGGGCAAGACACTGAATCCCTCATTGTCTTGGATGTGTGTCCAGTGTATGAATGTGATACAACACTGATTATTCTCTTTATGATCTGTTCAAGCTTTGTATAGATCTATTAGTGCTGTATGAATGGGTAAATGAGGACACAGGTTGTAGTGTAAAGCACTTTTAATGTACTGATAAGATAGAAAGGTGCTATACAAGTACAGTCCATTTACCATTTAAATATAGAAACATCTTGTGCCACTGGAATTTATTCTAAACTAAAATAGGCACATAAATTAAACGCTAGAATAAAATGGGTTAATTGAAATGTTTTAACATTTGTTCTCTTGTACTACAGAAACCGCTTTTAGACTTTTGAAACCGTTTACTTTTAATTTAATATTTTTTAAATATATCTGTGATAACGAGTCTTGATTCCTGACCTTGGATAATGGACCTCTGCAGTTTCTGCTACAAGGACGTAAAGTTGAGATGAAAAGCCAAAGAAAAAGCTTTGATTAGAACAATTTCTACTTTCTACTACAGTTGTTTTAATCATACAGCTTTCAGCTATTTTGATTTTTTCTTACCACTCTCTTTTCGAGAGAAAGCCTGGTGTGTTTTGCTCCACAAGGCTTGAAACTGTGCATAATTTCTTGCCACCATGATGTTACAGAGAGTACTATAACAACTTGGTTCGTGCAGTCCATTAGCTGTATCATGATCCATTAGTATGTCCGATGCCTGTGAGATGAAGTAGTAGCATGTGAGGAGAGATGACACTGGTGGCAATGCATTTTGTTCTTTTAGGCATTTATGCTGTGAGAAGGAATTATGTACTTTCACTCTGCAGCTTTCATGTAGACTGATGTAAATCCAGAACAACGTACTGGATAAGCTCCATTCATTGGACCAGTGATGGATTCAGTTTTTACAACTAGAATCGTAGTATTTCTTGAAGAAATAGGAATGCATATCATCTGCCAGAGCTTTTGACTGAAATCGTTTTGTTGAGAAATTACTGTTTTGGCTATTTTACTAAAAAAAAAAACTGAAAACATCTTTATGTGCAATGTTATGCAATAAGTTATCAAAGTTCATGCTCAATAATCCAGGGGGGGGGGGACCCAACAAAGTTAAATCAGGTCCTCTGGAGGGTTTCTTTTTGTTGAAACATTTTGTCTTTCATCCAAAGGACTTCATCAGTCCAAGCAGACACAACAAACTCAGTCCCACAAGCAGCACACGCAGGGTGCATTCACACCAGCCCTGTTTAGTCCGCTTTAATCGAACTCTAGCTCGTTTTCCTAGAAAGTCAGGTTCGTTTGGGGAGGTGTGAACGTGCCATCAAACTCTGTCATGGAACAAAAAGGCGAACTCTGGCCCGGGCTAAAACCTAGGTCTCGGTCCGGTAGAAGAGAACTCCAGTGCGGTTCGAGTACAGTGTGAATGTAAACAGATCGGGCCCCGCTCCACAAGCAAGAAGTGGAGTACAGTGCAGGGCAACCAAACACGCATTTCTCTTACCTTATATGGAGCCGTCAGCTGCCTTGTGTGGAAAACAATATTCTCCGTGGTCTTCTGCCTCATCTTCTGCTCATGCTGAGTCCATTTTTGAAAAATGACAAAATATAACTCCTAAAACTGCTAAAACTTGATCCCACTCCGTTTGTTTTTATTTCCAGAAGAAGAAGTGTCTTCAGAGGTTTTTGTGTTGTTTCTTTCAGTATTTCTTGGTGCAACGCCCCCACAGGCGAGTGGGGGAATTGGTTGGTTCAACAGGTTGGCTCGACTGCACAGTGCAGTGTGAATGCAAACGCACCAGCTCAAATGTAAACAATGTGATGAATATTGGTCCCCAACTGAACCGAGTCTACCGGACTATCAGGTGTGAAAACAACCTTGCATAGTGGGCCAACCAGTTTGATGGTGATAAGATGGGTTCTGGAGTGTGCCCTCTCCCCTGTCGACTCCTTTAAGGCAGCCATGGCCAAAGTGGTGGTTTTACCTGGATTATTGAGCATGACCTTTGATGTTTTGAAGCACTTTGTAGGGATTGTGGTCTATTTCCTGGTGTCTAGCCCCATCTTGTGTTGTGTTTATGTCTTGTGTTCTCCTTATCCTCAGTTTCTGTTTTCTATAGGGTTTGTGTTTTCCTAGTGTATGTCTCCATCTGGTGTTGTGTCTCTGTTCCTGCACTTACTGGTTTCCCAGTTTATCATTTCCCCTGATGTGTTTCAGCTGTGTGACCTCACAGGTGTTTTGTCTCGTTAGTCACTGTTTATAGTCTGTGTCTCTGTGTTAGTCCTTTGTCCTGGCATTGTATGCTGTCCACTGGTGATGTCCTGTTCTGCTCCTTGTGATTAATGTAAGTCTTATTGCACTGCCAGCCTTTAGTTTTTGTAAATAAATACTTAATTTTATAATCTTCTGAGTCCTGGACTGCCTGCACCATTGGGTTTACCTGCACCATTGGGTTTACCTGCACCAGCGCCTCCGTTACAATACACTTTGGCTATGGCTGCCTCAGGGGAGCTGATGGGGGAGAGGGTGGACTCCAGAAACCATCTTATCACCGTCAAACTGGTTGGCCCACTATGTGAGTGTGTTGCTTGTGGGACTGAATTTGTTGTGGCTCCTTGGACTGATGAAGTCTTTTGGATGAAAGACAAAACGTTTCAACACAAAGAAACCCGACACAAACACAAAGATATCCAGAGGACCCGACTTAACTTTGCTGGAGTTATGAGATAATGCAAACTCTCATGCTTGGGTTGTCAATGATCTTCAGCTACTACCACATCAAACATTAGCTGAGTATCTGTAAACTTGACTGAATTATAGCCATTTTTGTATTGGCACTGACTGACATGATGTGGCAGCCATCATGAGCCAGGCAGACACCATAAGGAAACCAAGTTTTCTGAAAGTCTTGTTAAAGTCCTTTCAGTGGTTCATGGGGTATTTTGCTAACACATACACATGGTTGATTAATGCTAAAGCTTTGAGCAAATATCTTGCACAATGTGTAGCACTCAGGGTATGTGTGATATTTTCAACTTACTCTTACAGTTTTTGTAGCTCTGTCAAGGTTTTAAAGCCAAGCGTTCTGCCGGGCAGGAATATGCTGACAGAAAAGCAGAGAACGTGCACACAGGAAAGTACTGAATGGGTTTTGTGTGGCTTCATGCAGTGGATTGCAGGGCATCAAGCAGAGATGTCATCAGAATGACAATGAATCAGTCTTTTTAAAGAATTATTCATCATGGAATGAGGCAGGGTGCAAAACTATTATTTGGAATCATACACAACCTCCTGTCAGGAGAGTTTGTTGAGGTGACGTTCCACTCGATAATAAGAGTCCACGCTTTTCTGGGAGAACTGAATAAAAACAAAATGGACTGGAGCAGAGCAGAACAGAACACACAGTGAATAAGGATTTATCTCTTCATCAGCTGGATGTTTAGCTCTCGAAACTGACTCCTCTCATCCTCTTCCCAGCATTTGTATGACTCAGGCATGTTAATGAAGGCCAAAGCCTAGCAGCCCCAGCAGGCGATGACAGTAATCAGTCGCTAATAAAAGCTGGATAAAAGGAGACTTTGGTTGTCTTGCAAGATCCAGAAACATTAAGCAGAGTGGATGTGCTCTGCAATTAAGAGGGGGATTGTGAAGAGCAACAGGAAATGGGCACTTGAATCAGAGAGGCAAACTGAAATGACTGAAATGAAGTAAGATGTTCTTGTTGCTATTATGTCCAAATATTTATTTGCTTTTTAAATCTACTAAAAAAGATAAACAGAGAACTGGCTGATGTTCAAGGTAAACACTGGCCAAAGATGACCTAAAAGATTTAAAGCTGTAAGATTTCTGGAATTTTTTTTTTTTAAGTATAC